ATGAAGGACACCCGTCCTGAAGACCGCACCCTCCCCGCCTTCATGGTCTCCACCACACGAGGCTTCCTTCCTCGTCAAGAACCCATCGTTGAACTACCAAAGGAGTTCGCTGCTCTTGAGTCTATCTTGCAACGCATGCCCATCAAGACACTGTCAGGGGAGCCAGGTCTACTTGCCAACTTCACCTTCGGCGACACCGTACTCAAGGAGCTTCCTGACCTTACCCCGGAGGTAGAGAAGTATCGCGATGACCTGGTTGTCATGAACGCCCTGTATCGTGACTACTCTTTCTTGGCTTCTGCATATCTCTTCGAGCCTTGCCATGAGAGGCATGTAAGAGGAGAGGAGTACGGTTTGGGTCGGCAGTCGCTGCCGAGATGTATCGCACTACCCATCGTTAAGGTTGCTGATATGTAAGTGTCAAAGCTTTCTCCTATCGTTATGTGGTGCTGGTCTTATGTCCTTGTCTCCTTAGCTTGGCATGGCAACTTCCAAACAGAACATGGCCACGAAGTCACTTCCACAATACGTCATAGGGTAGATGAAATGGCTGACATTTTCGCGTGCGCAGTGCTGGATTTAAGCCCTTCATGGAGTATGCTGGGTCGTATGCGCTCTTCAACTACCGTCTGGAAGATCCATCGCGGGGCCTAGAGTACGACAACCTTCGCCTGATCCGAGCTTTCGAGCATGGTTTGGATCCCACCTCATCTGAGGCAGGCTTCGTTCTCGTCCACATAGCTATGGTCAAGGAGTCTGGTGCGCTTGTCACAGGTGCTTCCGAAATGCTTGAAAGCTGTTTGGCCAAGGATCGAGAGCGGTTCAACGACGGACTTCGTACTCTGGTGGGCGGTCTCAGGAACGTCAACCCCGTCATGAACAGTAAGTGCATTGCTTGGGTGCGTGAATTCACGACTGACGAGATTAGCCATGTGGAACCGCAGCAAGCCGCAAGGCTATACCAACTTCCGTACGTTCATCTTCGGCATCACCTCACAGTCCATGTTTCCCAACGGTGTCATATACGAGGGCGTGAGCGAAGAGCCAATGTCTTTCCGCGGCGAGTCTGGTGCCAACGACAGCATGATTCCCATGTGCGACAACCTGCTTCAGGTCCAGATGCCAGAGACACCTCTTACAGATATCCTGAAGGACTTCCGCCAGTACCGTCCTGGCAATCACCGCGAGTTCTTGGAGGCTGTTCGTGATTGCGCTCAGCAGTCGGGCGTGCGCGAGTTTGCGAAAGGCGACTCCGTGTCAGCCGCGCTCTATCTCCAAGCTCTTGACCAAGTTCGCGACTTCCGCTGGCGGCATTGGTGCTTCACCCGCGAGTACATCCTCAAGCACACTTCGCACCCGACTGCGACAGGTGGCAGCCCGATCGTGACTGTAAGTGCTTCCTTGGCTTGACGGTCCTTGCTCTTACTGACGCGTAATAGTGGCTACCCAACCAGCTGACAGCAGTACTCATGCAAATGGCTGAGACGTTTGAGTACTGCAAGACGATCAATGGTGTCAGCGATATCATGGATACAGTCAACCACCAGCGCGAGTCGCTGAGGAAAGAGGTGGAGAAGTACTGCGGGGAACGAGGTGTTGCAGCATCATGAGAGCGCACGCTTCCCTCATCGACGGTACTACCCGTTCTCTTGTAATTCATAGCCAAACCACGATGCATTTGTCTTATGCATTCTCTACGACATGCGCCTTTGTTGGAGTGCTGCCTAGTCGCGACATTTTCGTGTTCCGCCCTTTTCGATGATGACTCGCGTAAACTCAGCGATGCGAGGGCGTAAACACGTATCGTATGACTGTATCGACAACACTGCGGATGACGCCGCGGCCACTGTGGACCACGGAGGCTGTGAGTGGTGTACTGGTGGTGGTTCTGGGATGAGTCAAGACGCGCTACCGCGTGAGTCTCAGCGTCATGGCTCCGGCGGCCTTCTATCGATAAGTAGGCCCCCGGATCTCCCTAGCAGCTCCCATCGCCATTGCCAGCGCCATTCCAGCACTTGCCACCCTTCGATGCTCACTGCAAGACAACTCATGGAATATTCACACTCTTTCCAGCTCCCGCGAATACCAAACGTCTTATTAATACGGCGGAGTTTACGAAACACGTCCTGACAGCCCCAACCCCACATTCATACCTCCATCACACCACGTACATCGGTCGCTACGAATACCTTCAGCCTAGGTTTACCGGTGGATATTTCATAATCACGTGCTATTTCGCATAATATGGCCTCCCGACACGAGCCTAAGCAGAGCCCAGCTGAGCGGCGGAAGGGCGAGTCTGTAAGTAATAACCCAGGAGAAGCCTACCTCTCCCCAAGCTGTACCCCACATGTACCCCAGATATATTCGTTGCTTTGACACTGCAACGAGTATGGTACAGGACAAACCAATTCCGTTGGCTCACGGTTCGCGCCGAGTAGTACAACCAGGGAAATGGGGCTACTTGTAGCACGAAGGCGATCGCATTGTACTTTAGACGGATTACCCATTGAGGTTCCAGAAGACGTACTCAAGCTAATGTAAATACCAGGCGCTCAGCGAATTTGCCGACTACGTCCAGAAACAACAGGCGCTGCGCCGACCGCCCGGCCAGGCCCCCGCCGTCCTCGAAGACCACGATGAGCTGAGCATCCTCGACGAGCTCGGCCTCTCCGATGACAACAAGGCGCATATCCGCCTAAAGACGCTCCTTACCGACCCCGCCGAAGAGAACGTCGCAGCGCTCGCTGAGCATATCCAGGGGCGCCTGGCCGAGGGCCATGGGGAGGCTCTGTTCGACGTTGGCCTGGAAGACAGCGGTGACTCCATGGGCTTCACTGAGGACCAGTGGAAGTTTGCCTTGGAGAGGATACGAGTTGCCTGCGAGAAGATCAAGGCCGACTACAAGATGCTTATGACGCGGAACGTTGGCGGTGACGTCGAAGTCGGACCTCGCAATGCGAAGGAGCTTGGCTTAAGTGGCAAGATGATCTTGCGACAACAGCCTCAGAGTGTCGATGATGTGATAGAGACGCGGATAGCGGTTGTGGGAAATGGTAAGTATTTCCCGGCGCAATTGAGAATATACACTGACAATTGACAGTCGACGCTGGCAAAAGTACCATGCTCGGTGTCCTCGTCAAAGGCGGCCTCGACGATGGCCGCGGAAAAGCGCGTGTCAACCTCTTCCGTCACAAACACGAAATCGAGAGTGGTCGAACCAGCTCAGTCGGCATGGAGATAATGGGCTTTGACAGCAAGAGCGAAGTCGTTGTGTCGAACGTCGCAGGTCGAAAACTTACTTGGGAAGAGATTGGACGGCGATCCGCCAAGGTCATCAGCTTCACTGATCTCGCTGGTCACGAGAGATACCTGCGGACTACCGTCTTTGGGCTGCTATCAAGCGAGCCCAACTACTGTCTGTTGATGATCGCGGCAAACAACGGTTTAGTGGGTATGAGTAAAGAGCATCTCGGAATCGCTCTTGCGCTCAACGTCCCCGTCATGGTCGTTATCACCAAAATCGACATTTGTCCACCACAGATTCTTGAACAAACTATAACTCAGCTGTCCAAGATTCTCAAATCCCCAGGGGCGCGAAAGATACCGGTATTCATCAACAATAGGGAGGAGTGCATCACCACCGCCACCCAATTTGTGTCGAGTCGTATATGTCCTATCTTCCAAGTTTCCAATGTCACTGGTCACAACCTGGACCTGGTGCGCATGTTCCTCAACGCACTACCGCATCACGGCAATTACGACGCCTCTGCTCCTTTGGAATTCCACGTCAACGACACATTCTCGGTACCTTTCGTTGGTACTGTGGTTTCAGGTGTTGTCAAGTCTGGTGAAATACATTCTGGCGACACAGTCTTAATCGGTCCTGATAGTCTTGGCCAGTTCCAAACGACAAAGGTGCGTTCCGTCGAGCGCAAACGGATACAAGTTCCAGGATGCTCTGCTGGGCAGTCTGCTAGTCTCGCGCTGCGCAACGTTCGGCGGAAAGATGTGCGAAAAGGCATGGTCGTTTTGCACAAGGCTGAGAAGCCTGATCCAACAACTGGCATATTACCAGCCCCGAAAGTGTACCGTGAGTTCGTTGCCGAAGTCTTGATCTTGTCGCACGCGACGACTATCAAGACCAAGTACCAGGCTATGCTACACGTTGGACCAGTGTCCCAGACCTGCGCCATCATCGACATCGATCGCCAGTACATCCGCACTGGCGACCGAGCACAGGTAGCCTTCCGCTTCGTACAGCGACCGGAGTACTTAACTGTTGGCGATCGGATACTATTCCGTGAGGGCAGGACGAAAGGATTGGGTATTGTCAAGAGAGTCGGTTATGACTCCAAGCATCCGCTAAACCCGGAGTTGCACAAGAAGAAGGATGGTCAAGAGGACGGGAAGAACGTGGAATCATCATGACGGGTTAGAACGTAGAAGTGAGCAGATATCTCATGACCTGCCTGAGCAATCGCATTAGAAGATTGAACGACGTCTAGAGACTAGCTCTCATGAATGATATAATGATTCATATTCGCACGAGAAATCTCAGCTCAAACGCAACTTTACTGTGCCGATCGTGATGGCACCGCCAGTATTTCACATGTTAGCGTCTATTTGCGCTCAAGTAAGGCATTTGATACGCTAGGTTCGCGGTGCCGCAAGGTGTTGAAGATGGCGGTGCTGACAGCCGCGTATCGATAACAGTGCCGCAACGCCGCCGCTCCAGTGAGCACAGTGGAAGCTTCTGAGCGACACAACGACGCTTTTTGTTACTCACAAACCTCTTCATCAATTTTTTCCATCTCACGTGCGAACTTTCAAGTAATAACTCCATGTTAGGATTAATTTGCCGCGATCAGGAGGATCGCAGCACAACACGGGCGGGCTGCCGCACACTGCGACGGCACCTGAGGGCATCGCCACGTCTTTCGTGATTCAAGGAGTCCTGAAAACCACTGTGGGATTCTGGAAAAGTTGTATTCCCCACGATGGCAACAATAGACCCCGCACAGTCGACGCTGTACCCCAAGATCACGACACACATTCCTGAGATTATCGAGCACCTGCGGCGCTTGAACCGCGACCCTGCCCACCCAGAAGCAAACATCATTGTGGACCCTATGCCTTTCATCGGTACAGTCAAACTTCATGGCACGCACGCAGATATCCTCGTATACTCCGATGATCGCATCGTCTTTCAATCGCGCAACATAACCGGTCTGTCCGTCGCAAAAGATAACCAAGGATTTGCGGCAAATATTTCAGAGAAAACCGCGGCTGTACTTGGACTGCGAGATGTGTATCTGGCAAGATGGAAAGAGCTAAACCCTAGCACAACAATTGAGCAAGACTCGCCCGTCGTGATAGCCGGTGAATGGATAGGCGAGAAGATCCAAAAAGATGTCGCCATTTCCCAACTATCCCGCCGCTTCGTCATCGTCTCGGTTAACATCAATGGTACATGGCAAAAAGACGAAGCATACTCCGACATCTCGCTTCCGGATCATGACATCTATAACGCCTCAAGAGCCGGCTCCTTCCACACAACACTCTACCCTGACGATTACGAACGCACAGTATCAGAAGTCGAACGCTTGACCGAAAGAGTCGCCGCTCGATGCCCTTTCGCAGCAACTTTCGGTATATCCGGCTTGGGCGAGGGTATCGTCTGGAAACCCATACCTTGCCAGTACAACGGCGACACCTCTCTATGGTTCAAAAGTAAAGGAGGGAAGTTCAAACCTACATTCTTCCGCATTCCAAAACAACATGAAGGCGCCGATATCATCAAAGAGCGACGCAAAGCAGCTGGAGTAGTAGCAGTTGCATGGTGCTCCCAGCAGCGCTTAGAACAAGGCTGGGATGTGCTGCGCGAGAAGGGTGTTGAGCGCGATGTGAGGGCACTAGGCGACTTTTTGAAGTGGATTCAACATGATGTTTTGGAGGAAGAGAAGGGACATATCAAAGAGCATGGTGTGGATGAGGCGGCGTTGAAGATTGAGATTGCTAAAATTGCTAAGCCGTGGTATAGGGCAAAGCTTAGGGAAGAGGATGCCTCGTGATGCTTGACAAATCAGACGAAGACCATAAGGAAGAGGCTTGCTGGACTTTGATTGCGAATGATGCGCACGCACGACGATGGTTTGTGCTCTTGTAATGAAAGTCACAAACTTCTGGCACACTTTATCAAGGCATCATTGCTCCCTTCGATTGCAACGATACAAGATTATCATCGCTCCTTCGGTGTTCATCACGTCCACAAAATTCGACCCTACTCACAGCGGTCCACCCTAGAATGTCTGAAGCACTCAACGACGCTTCGGGCGACAGGCCCCCACAGATGCCCGAAAAATACACCTGGCTTCGCGACGCTGCTTCGTCTACGTACTGTTTTGTCAGTCTGTGTGTCCCCACCTCCGACATCGATGATGCGCGTTCCAAACTGGCTGCGAACGCCCAAGAGGACTTAGTCGTCGATGCACTCCTCAGGCGCGTCGTTGCAGTAAAGATTCCCGGAGAAGGCTCTACCCAGCCTACGATGCATTCCGAATTACGCATTCTCCAAGAGATACACCGCCAATCGTATTCTCGCAGCGGCGGTGAGCACTGCATTGAAGTAGTTGACCACTACGACATGGAAGCTATGGCCCAAGGGGAACCAGGTTGGCTGGTCATGGCAAGCTCACCAGTTTCTAGTGATCTTGAAGGACTTTTCGTATTCGACACTAGGGACAAGCTTCCAAAATGCCTACTCTGGCTCATCGTTACGCAGCTCTATGAGACAATCTACTTCCTACACCGCGAATGTAAGCCGACTATCACACATGGCAGTGTTTTAGCGGAGGACATTCTTATCAGCTTTCCCTACGAAGAAGAGAAGAATGGAGAGGCTACCATTGCTAAACGCCCTAAAATCAGTCTCGTAGGATTTGCGAAGAGCTGCATCCATGATCCTACGAACTCTCCAGATGGGCTTGAACGCAAGGCTCGGGCAGAAGAAGAAGATATCGAAGCTCTGGCCCAATTGATTCGAAAGCTCATCTATAGGTGCTACGAGCATGAAAATGTATACGATGGCAAGCCAGGAGGGAAGATGACAAGGCTCGTGCGAACGTATCTCAAAGATGATGCGCCAGAAGAGGTGAGGAAGTTTGAGCGGGTGGAGGCGCAAGACTTGGAGAGTGTATGGGCTGCTATCGGGGTATTCGCTAAGGAGCAATTGGGGAAAGTCAGGAATGAGGAGTGGGAAGAGGTGCGGGACTCGCTTGATGAGGTTGCTGAAGCGCAAGTAAAGTTGAGTGACCTTGTCATAGGCGTTCTGAGTGATCAGTCAGCGAAGGCATAGGCATCTAGCCTATCATCACGGTTAGAGAGATATGTTGTGAATCTTAACGACTGTCTTATTCTCATTCGTTGCTGGTTTCGCTTCCTACGACGATGTACTCATTGTGTACTTACGCTCCCACATGTCCCCTCAAAATCACTCAAAACGTGTAAACATACTTCATTGTACGCGCTCTCTCCACGTTCTAATAAGCTCAATGGCTTGACTTTTGTTTCTCAAACGTCCAAACCCACTCCAGACAACGCCCGTTCCCTTGTGTGTACTCCCTCATATATCCAGTGCGTTTACTCTTAGGAATTATCAGCTCAGCCGCACGCGAGAGCTCCTTCTTCCAAGCATCCAAGTAGTGATCTTCCAGACGCCTAGCTTTATTTGCGCTGTCGGTCTCCCCTCGCAAACTCCAATACCACACAAGGTTTTTAATATCATCAACAACGCCAACGAGGTGCACCTGGAGACGACGAAGCTCGGTATGGCTAGATAAGATTTCGAGACCAGAGAGGTTAAAGGTAAAATCTGCCGCGCTGTTGGCAGCTAGTCGCTCATTGGTTGGGCGGACGAGTTTGATGCAGACAGTGTCTAGTGGAGTTGACGCGTTAGCTGCTGCGGCGCTTCTATTGATCTCGGCCCGTGCTACTTCGCTGAGCCGGTAGACTCGCTTCACGTCATCGAAGATCATCGGCCAGTCGCACCGGATGAAGATCTCGTGCGTGTGGCACTCTGATGGAGTGATGGCGTCTAAGATATAGCTTTGTGGATGTATATCTGATAGTCGATTATCCAGGTGCCACGTTGACTTCTGGTGTAGCTGCCGGATGCCTTCGCGCATCATTTGGTTGTTGGTAAGAAGCCATGGGATTTTGTCACTAGCAGATGGTGCTTCAACCGAGTCGTGCCTTCGGTCATAGGTTACCTTGTAGTCTTTGGTATCATACCGCTGAACAAAGGTGTTTGTATCACTCCAGAGGTAGTCGTAAATGATATCGCGGACTTCGGTTGGCAAGGTCGTGAAAAATGGAGAATTCGACATTGGAGCGGTCGATGATTTTGATTTTCGATATGCTGTCGAAGACCCTAGTTAACTCTCGCTTCGGTTCTTGACGGAGTTGAGAGATTGGAGCGGAGACTTAGGCGAACTATGATCGTGAGATCTAATGGGGCTAGGCATTGTATATATCGGTAAAGGGAGCACCATGAATGCACTGTCCAACGGTGTGGACCAGCAACACAGCGTGAATTGCGCATTGATGGCCGTGCACACAAAGGTAGCGCAGATATCGGTCGTATGAATTATAGGTACTGGGTAGTCGAATGGTCAGGTTGGCGGCTTTAATGCCGTACCCATGGCGAATCTGACATTTGGCGAATGGTTGAAGCCATTGAATGGATGCAGCTTACTCCAATTGCAGAACAGACGGATGGCGCAGCCTAGGGAGTATTTGCCTACATATGTAAGTGATACCCTCACTGATAGTTGTGTAGCAAAGAATACGTTAACACAAGTAGTGGACTGTCAGCCCTTGCTTCGCGTTAGCATCTGCATTCCGGTGTGTTCGAGGCCCGCAGGCAGGAATGATTAACTCCAGTCTCGAAAGATTGCTGAGAACCCTCGGAGTCAGTCGTGGACAAGATGAAATCTCCATGGAAATCCAAATCTGCGTGCTTCTTGTCGAAAATGCCTGGTCGCCGTCATACTCTTTTTCGACTCCAAAATCAAACGCAGATGTACACCAAGCGAGATGGATGAAACCATAGATGAGGATGCAGCCATGATTGATCAAAGTTGAGGGAGAAAGCGCATGCCTTCGGTGTGCCAGCGTCGGTATCCAACGCCGAGGGGATGGTAGGAAGAAGATGCGGAAGTCGCGACTGCGAGCTGGCAATGCCTGGTGCCGCAATAACGTTTCCCACGCGCACCGACCAGCCCCGCCAAACGCGAACCTGTCGCGTCCTCACGTCGCGTCAGCTACGCCACCCAGCCCTGTCCCCGCACGCACGGAGAAGACATGGGTAACACTGTTCGGGAGTTCATGAACAAGGACAGTTGTCGAGAATGAGCTTGCCCATCCCACACAGTGCATAACCTCAGAAGACGCAAAGTTGGTATTGTGATCTTTATGACTTAATACTAGGACTCCACGACAGAGTTTACAGGAAACTATCTACTTCAACACCTCCAAGACACCAATTCTCGCAACGCTATGATACAAAGACAAAACAAAGAAGAAAGAGCTCTGCCTGCTACACCGTCTAAAAACCAGTATTTACAAATGAAAACAAAGGAACGCCAAATAATGCTAGTGATGATGCAGAACAAAAACAGGAAAAGAGTGATGTTAGGGAAGCTTCTAATTCCCCCTACCAAGCAACTTCTTGCCTAGAGCCTTCGCCTTTTTCGTCTTCGGACCATCAGTGTCTTCTTCCATGACGCTGCCTTCTCGTCCGCTCATACCACTGACACCACTAATACCAGTGGCTACACTCGCAGCTCGCATGCTGGCTGCGCCGCTACCCGCTCTGCCTCGCATGTGTCCGGCAAAAGGTGCGCTGACACCAGCAATGTGTTTACTCAAGCTATGAATGAGGTTTGCGTGGACTGGCTCCGTGTTGTCTACTCTTGATAGTTCATCCGCAAAGGCGCGACCGTCGTCGACGTCTTCGGGGCCTAGTCCGTTGCTGTGATGATTCAAGCCACCCATGATGGAGCCGTGTGTCGAACGCGCTTGATTGGATGTTGAAGGTGGCTTTGATGACTGGAGAGACGAGCCTTCTTCCGAGACGGTGCTGATGAGACTACCTTGGCGGCCGGATGCGAAAGAACGGCGGGGCATACGGTCTTCGGCTGAGAGGTCGGAGCCACCGGGGGAGTGGTCGCGCATCGAGTTTGAGTCGGTGCCTGAGAGATCGGGAGAGGTGTTGAGCATTGTGCTGCTGTTCGCGAGCTGTCGGAGGCGCGACTGTGCTTTGGCTGAGGGTCGGTGGTGCGAGATCTTGTTGCCAACAATCGTACCGGCGTGGGAGAGGAGCGCCCGCAAGACGTCTTTCTTGAGTTGCGTGACAAGATCTAAGTTAGACCAAGTCTTGTTGCGGTACTCAATTGTGGGCATCCTGAAGACCAGGTCATGGACATCTTCAAAATTGCGTGTGCTCTTGCCCTTGTAGGAAAGACACAGCACCATGGACGGGATCTTGAAGTAAGCGACTGTCATGTACTCGCTCGCACGACTCATCATCTCAGTCAGATCATCACTTCTGGCTTCCTTCTTGTTCGTTTTCTTCTCCGCTAGGTTGGTGCCGGTGCGGTAAAGTGCAAAGCGTTTTGCAGTTCGATCAGACTCGTTCAGAGTCTGGCTTGAGTTGGTAGTGCTTGACCGGACGGAGCTTGGTCTTGTGGAGGTATTGGAGCTATTTCCCAATGTGGGTACCACCAAGGCGGAGCTCGGGTGAAGAGTGCGACGAAGCTCTGTACCACTACGAGAAGGGTTGTTGTCTTTGAAGAAACGGAAATAGTGAGCGCTTGGGCGCTTAACCAAACTCTTTCTCTTTGCGTCAGACTTCTGTACTGGATCGGGCAGCTGAAGTGTGGGCGTAAGTCGTTGTTTGAGCGCCTCCACAGCGCCGTCATCAGCTGAAAGCGAGGCGCTCATACTTGTCGCTCCAGAAATGATGCTATCAATTTCTTCGTCTTCCTCATCCTGAGTCGGCAGAGTATGCTTG